CCAAAGAGATCTTCTTCTTCCCAAAACTTCCCTCAAAATAAATCTTGAATTCAATGGTACTAACGTGCAAGCTTGTCGGAGCAACCGTGTGAACCCCCCTCCACACTCCCTTGAAACCCCCTCCAATGATCTTCTCCTTCTCTCAAACTCCACCCTTTCCTCTCTCCTTTTCAAGTTCTCTCTTCAGGTTTCCTTCAAAAAAATGAAGCTTCAAAGGATGTCAAAGATGCTTTCAAAGTCTTTGAAAAAGATTAAATAGAAGAGCTCAAAAAAGGCTCTGAAATGCACCAAACGGACATTATCATCCAGGATGATCGCGAGATTATCCCGTAGGATGCGCTTAAAAGAAGGCTTTAGAAAATCCTAGAAACTAAATTTTGGTGACACATATTGTCCAGGATGATTGAAGGATCATCCCGTATGACGTGCTTAAAAAGAGAGCTTCAAAAAATCCTAAAAAACTCAATTTTGGTGCCAAAAATTTTCCTGGACAATCACGGGATCGTCTAGTACGATGTGTAGAATTTGACCTGATAGTCTCGGATGATATTAGGATAGTCCAGGATGATTAGTGTAAAATTGTACAGCTCATCCAGGATAAAATTATGGATCGTCTGGGATAATTAGAAGAAAAATTATGGTATTTCATCTTGGATGATTTAAGAATATCAAGTATGTCGGCAAACATCATCCTGTATGATATACAGATCGTTCAGGATGATCGGATTGAAAAATTTAACCATAACTAATCCCCTAATCACATGATCAATTTAGAAATGAATTGTCTTGATCGTCTAGGATGATCTAGATCGTCCAGGATGATTAGAACAAAAATTGAATCTTAAAACCTTACCTAAATTATCATTGGCGGCAGTTTTCCAAGATCATAAAGGATCATCCTAGATGATCCAAAATCAACCAGTATGATTAGTTTAAAACTTGATCTTTTAGATTTGACTAAATCTCACTCCCCTGAAAGTGTGTGTGCATGGTCACCAAGCAAGCATACTCCCTTACAGGACTTGACTCAAGAAATTAAAAATATATCAATGTATTACAAATAAAAGATGTTCTACCAAAACTTGAGTCTTGAATGGTGCATCGTAATTCTGAAAAGTTAGTATACACACAAATAAATATATATTTCAAATACAAGTAGACAACAGAAAGTGAGTCATAATATTTGTTATCATAAAAAACATAAATATATAAGCTCGAGTTGCAATAATCTCACCCTTTTTTATGATGGTAAATATTACTGGTTGAATTTGCAAAATTGAAAACATTCTCTCCTAATCTCCCCCTCACTAGAATAAAAATTTAAAAATAGGGGAAGATAAAATTTTTGTTATTTTTATTTTTTTTTAAGGATACAAATACTACAGTATGTTCTCCCCTTTGACATTATTAAAAAAATGAAGGGCACAAATAATCAGAATAATAAAAATGATTAAAAACAAAATGATCCCTGATCTACTGAGAAAAAATATCAAATATTCTTAAAATAAAAAAGTTACCTCTTAATTTTATTCAAAAACGCAATAAGGAATGTATTGACAATGCATAACCTAGAAATGTTAGAAATTTAAAATTTGTTAATTCAAACTCAAGTTCTTTTAAAGGCTCAAAAACATTTTAATCGAATATCTAAATCAAGGAACAAATTAGAAAAAAAAACACTAATTTTTTCAAAACTCCTTTCATAAAACATATCTAATAGAAGATTAATGCAAAAATTGATGAATCAAGAATCATGATTTTTAAGCTCAAGTATCAAAAATATCAAGAGTTTTCTAAAGCTTTAAGAAGTACAAGAAAGGTAAGCATTACTTTTTGTGGGCTCATTTTATGCCTCTTGTTAGTTTTTTGGCGCACTTTGTGGATCTTTTAGTTTTTAATAAACTTTGTGTATCTTTCACAATTTTGGCATCATTGCACTTTTGATTTGGCATTATTGGCCACTTTTTTTTATATGCTACCTTTTTGAAATTTTAAAAATAAAAGTAAACTCATTCTATTGACAAAATAAACTACTTGATTAAGAAAATTATGAGGTAGATTCAACAACTTAAAAAAGATCCCTATACAATAAACAAAATATAGGGAGAAAAAAAAATCAGTTTCAAAATCCAACTTATAATATTATGAAGATTTTGAATCAAAATAAAAATAAAATATTTAAGATAAGAGATAGAGAGACAAAATCATGAGTTTCCTTTCTTTGACTATTTTTAGAGAAGTCAACCATAATTTAAATAAGAATTCAAGAAAAATAGGAGGTAGGTTTTTCCTTTATAGAAAAGTGAACGTGTGTGTTTATCAGATAGAACTTCACAAAAAAAAAAGTAAAGACAAATTTAAAATTTTAAACAAAAGATAGAATAAAAAATAATAAACCCAAAGAAAACACATAAAACAAAAAAAACATACATAAATAAACACACAAACAAAAAACATCAACTTGCTCCTGGTCTGATGATTCAAAAGCAAGGTCTGCCCAAGAGATTTTTTATTTTTTATTATTCGCCCTTTTACAATTTGCTTAGCTTTACCCTTTTCTTTTACAGGAAGAGTTCTCAAATTAGGGCACTAATTTTTCATATATCCAGGCTTCCTACATCCAAAGCAAACAACATTAGGAGAAATCTTTATATTCTTACCATTTTTATTTTTATTCCACTTTTGTTGATGCTTATTCTTTGGTGATCTTTTTAATTTGCTTGATAAGTCATCGCTTTTGTCACCAACTAAGCCATTTTTCTCTATGTTTTTAGCATTTAGCACTATCATCTCTCCTGCATCCAAAAGTCTTTGGCCCAAACTATATTAGTAACTAAGGGGTATAATCAAATAGAAAGTATTGATTTTGAGGAGACCTTTGTTCTTGTAGCTAAGTTAGAAGCTATTAGAGTGCTATTAGCCTTTGCTTCTTTAGAGGTTTTAAGACTTACCAATTGGATGTAAAGAGTGCCTTTTCAAATGTGATGTTTAAGGAAGATATATATGTAGAGAAACCCCCTGCATTTGAAAATTTAACCTCCGCCAATCATTTATAAATTGAAAAGGCATTATATAAATTTAAGCAAGCTCATAGAACATGGTATGAAAGGATTATCAACTTTCTCCTAGATAGATCCTTTATTAAGGGTAGTGTAGATACCATCCTATTCCTTAATAAAGTAGGAGATGATCTACTTAGATGAAAATCTATTTATTAATTATTTAGAATCATAAGAAGATAATTAGAAATGAGTTTGATGGGAGAGTTCACTTATTTCCTTAGTTTTAGTATAAAGCAAATCAATGATGGAACTTTTTAATTCAAAATAAATATATCAAGGATATTCTAAAGAAATATGACATGGAAAATGTTAGAGTAATTGATACACATATGAGCTCTACTATTCAATTAGATAAAGATGCAAGTGGAAAATTAGTAGAACAAAAGAAGTAAAGGGATATAATAATATCACTTTTATATTTGACAGCTAACCAACCAGACATTATGTTTTTGTTTACCTTCATGCCAAATTTCAAGCAGATCCTATGAAATCAAATATGACAAATATTAATATAATCCTTAGATACCTTCTAGGCACCCAAAATTTAGGTATTTGGTACCCTAGATAAAGTACCTCATTTGAAATCATAAAATATTCAGACTCAGACTTTATAAGATGTAAGATTGATAGAAAAAAATACCATTGGAAATTATAAATTCATAGGTCAATCCTTAGCTTCCTAGACTAGTAAAAAATAAACTATGTACCTCTATCCACTACATAGGAAGAATACACTATTATAGAAAGATTTGTTGCTCAAGTCTAATGGCTAAAGTAGCAAATCCTTAACCTTTGTCTCACTATTAGCACTATTCAAATACTAGTGACATATACATCTCTAAGAATCCAACTCTATGAACAATAAACGCATTGTAAACTGCGCTTTTATTGTTCACGGAGACAAAACCAAATGATTTTCTATGTCCGGTCTCCGCACGTAATAATTTCTCTCAAAATCGTTGAAGTATTCAAAGCTAAAAAAATATTTGACTGAACAGATGAAGACTTAGATATGATTAATCAAGAAATAGCACCTTCCATAAGTTGTCGTACTTCAAATAATATAATCTTCCTTGCATTTATCAAAGTTTGGTGTATTTCAGACATCATTGTTTAAATTAGATGGAACTCCATCACTCCTCCTTGAGTACTTGATTTTAGTTTTACAAATATACCTTCACTGGGCATATCTCTGAAACTCCTTTGCTTGTTAATATCCCCTATATTTATGTCATTAATTCATGTCGTTCAATCTATTTTTAGATTTTCTTATAATCAAATTTACAAATTCAACCCAAACATGTAACCATTCACTTCACCACCTATCATTGAACCTTCAATTATTTGCAAAAAAAAGATATTAAAATAATTATATTTATAAAAAGTGTATTTATAATAATTAGTATTATTTGGTGTTATAATTTTTTTTTATTTAATTCAATTTATTTAAACCTAAATAGAATTAAGTTAAGATGTACTTCAATCAATTTAAAATAGACAAGAAGCAGTGAGGCGCACGATTAATTCAATTAGTGAACAGCTGAGAGAGAGGATTAATCTTTCTAATTTATGGTTTTGTCTTCTTTTTTTAATTTATTAGCAATAGCTTCAACTTTATGGGCAACATATCACCAGTCTCTTCCTCTCGAATTGAAAAATATTGTATCGTTTGTTATTTTTATTCATTCACTAGAGGAATACAGAGGAATACAGGTTATTTGCTTGGTTTAAATATCCAAAAAAAAAAAAAATAACTGTGAGAATTGCTGTTAAATTTTTATAATAAGCATTAGTTAAAATGAATACTTTTGCTGATTTTTATAAGCATAACTAACTAATTAGTGAAGTAATCATACTACTAATCAGAATGCTAATTAAATAAACAAATATTGTTAATTAATCCAACAACAGATGAATTTGTTAAATCTCCACATAGACTTTCAGTCAAATTGTGAAATCTCTAAATTCAGTCAAGATGTTATAAATCCAGATGGCAATATCTAGCTATTTCATTGAAATTTAATGATCAAATGCTCATTAATCCTGAAATCCTTGTTAGCAATCAGCTATTAATAATCTCACAAACAGTTACTTTCAGTCAAATTGTGAAATCTCTAAATTCAGCTATCAATACAACGAGGAGGGGAAGTGAAGCTCCCTCCGGTAATTAATCAGAGGTCGGGGCCCATTCAGAAGTGAAATTGGTGACGAAGCTTGGTTCGTCACTGCGATAATCAGAGGAGTTCTGTGCGGAGTGAACAAGAGGAAGATCCTTGGCTTCTTCCTCGATATCTTCATCGAGGTCGCTGGTGGACAGGTTGATGCAGAAGAAGCAATCGAGAGAGGCGAAGAAAGCGGATGAGATGCTCGAGACGACCCACGTCGCCATGCTTTCGAGCTTCTCGTAGGATGTGTCGCCACCGTTCTCCACTACAGGGTTAGAGCTCTCCATGGAGGTCGCCGCCGGGATCGAAATCGTCTCCAAGATTAGATAGAAAAAGATGCGGCGAAGAGAGCAAAGCAAAGCGAACCCCAGCGACATGAATGGCCAACGAGGGTAAAAACGACATGAATGGTCCGAACTCATCCAACCCAGGAAGCCGACCTGGGGTTCGCCTTTCATCTTCTCCTTTTCGTCGTTGCTGTTCGTTTTCGTTGATTCGCAGGGTGTGCATAGATTGCACCGTCGCTTCTCGGCTTCCTTGTCGTCGTTCGACTTCGTTCATTCGCTCTCGAGCAAGATAGACAGCACGGATCGCTCCTTCCTTTTCTTCGTTGCTATTCGACTTCGGCTCCCTCTTGGCTGTTCGACTTCGCTCTTCGCAATCTTCTCATAAGGGATGGCACGAGGCTCGTTCTCCAGCGAAGAATTTCAAACCCGTTCGTTTTGAGCGGCTTTTGAAGTCGCGGGATCCGCCTCCGATAATACACGACTAATACTTCAGTGGTTTTTCTTTTGTTCCGCTTAAAATTAACCAAACAGCGGAATTTAGAAAATACGTGTATTTCTTTTACTTTACCCTCCTAATTCAGGCAACCAAACAGCCCCTAAATTAGATGGAACTCCATCACTCCTCCTTGAGTACTTGATTTTAGTTTTACAAATATACCTTCACTGGGCATATCTCTGAAACTCCTTTGCTTGTTAATATCCCCTATATTTATGTCATTAATTCATGTCGTTCAATCTATTTTTAGATTTTCTTATAATCAAATTTACAAATTCAACCCAAACATGTAACCATTCACTTCACCACCTATCATTGAACCTTCAATTATTTGCAAAAAAAAGAGAACCAAAGTTGATATGTCAAATATTGATCCCCACAAAGACCATAGTCGACCAATTGTGTCATGATTCGTGTAAACTAGGTTTCGTTTGGGACAACTTTCTCAATGCTTTCTAAATTTTTTAGTTAAAAATTTTCTTGAATTAAAAATTTTTGTGCTAAAAAATTATTTTAGAAAGTAATAAAAAGTTGTTCCAAATGAAACCTTAAGGTTTCGCTATCGCTAAGGACGGCTTTATTATTGCTTCTTAAAATAACTTTTTAGTACAAAAATTAAAATTTTTGTACTCAAAAGCTGCTTTAAGAAGCAATAAAAAAACCGTTTCAAACGAAGCTTAAATATCAGTCAACAATGCCTATTCTTATAATCACCATGAATGAAGATTAATAAATTATAATGAAATCCGATTCATTATAACTAAAATCTTCAATGTTTTATTCAGACCATAATTAAAATAAATCTTTGAGCATTCAACATAAAACCATTCATCACTCATTTTATTTTAAACATTAGAGTTATATTTTTTAATTATTTTATATTATCCTATGATAAAATGTTTGACAACAGAGGAGAATATATCAATGTAATCCACACCTTTCTTTTGAGTGTAACCTCTTGCAATTGATTTAATCTTATATTAATTGGGTTCCCCTTTAGGGTTTAATAATATTCATCTTGCATTGCTTGAATCCATTTTTTTTGAATTTTTGGTAAAAATAACCTCTTTGTAACTTAAATGTTTTGAATATTTATATTAAGTGCTGACAATAGAGCATATTCAAATAAATTTAGATAAAAAATATCGTACCTATTTATTATTGAAATTTTGAGGAAAATAATGATTCTTGAATTCTTTCATTGCTCAAAGGCTGTATCGAATAAAATTTATATTATTTTAAGAGATAAAGAAAATTTATTAACTTATTGAATTTACTCATGTTGCGGACTATATCAATATTCGCATCAGTAGAGTGAGTGAATTTTTCATTTTAATGATATACTGTTAACCGGCACATAAAAAGATAATTGAAGAGAGATCAGAAAAACACCAAAAAAAATTTTACGTGGAAAATCCGAAGAGAGAAAAACCACAGGGTCTTGTCCTACTGAAAAGGTTACATTAAATTTAACTGAATTATAAAGGTTGACCCATCCCTTAATTTGAAGGCAGTGAAATTACAATAGTTTGGAGTGTTGGACGAAAGTTCGATAGTGGTTGGCGGCTGGTTGGTGGTTTGACGAAGGTCGAGTGGGAGTCCGATGGCAGTTGTCGATTGGATAGAAGTCCAGCAGATATATGTGGCCCGGTATAAGTTTGATGACAGTTGGCGACCGGGCGGTGTTTCGATGATTATCAAGTTGAATTCTGGTAGTGGTTAGTGGCCGAGAGAAAGTCAGGCGGCGATCAGTGGCCTAACAGTACTGGTCCAACCATGGTCTAGTGTAGACCTGTCAATATTTGACCCGACCCGAAAATCCGACCCGAACCCGACCAGAAAATTTCGGGTTCGGGTCAACCCGAACCCGAACCGGGTCGGGTTAGAGATTTCGACCCGTTTGTAAAACCGGGTCGGGTTCGGGTTGACCCGGATACCCGAAATCGACCTGGTTTGACCCGTTTTTAATTAATTTTGGAGGATTTTAATGAATTTTTATGAAATAAGTAAATAATATTTCAAAAAATTATAAATATTATTGCTCAAATTAAATTAATCTTGATTTATTTTAAATTAATTGAAGTAAATCTACCCTTAATTTGATTTAAATTTAAATAAAATGAATTAAATAAAAAATTTTAATTAAATATACCCGAAGCGGGTCGGGTCGGGTTGACCCGGACCCGAAGCGGGTCGGGTCGGGTCGGGTTGAACAGTGTCGGGTCAATTTCGGGTTGGACCCGAACCCGACCCGTGACCCGTTTTTGACAGGTCTAGTCTAGTGGGAGCTCAGAGGCGGTCAACAGGCTAGTGGAAGTCTGGATGAGGTTGGCGACCGGGCCGATGATGGTCGGCGGATGGGTAGAAGTCCATCAACGATCAACAATCGGGTGGAAGCACGGTCGTTGTCGATGGCCACTTGTCCGATGACGGTTGACGTAGCTTCGCCAATGGTGCTTGAGCTTTTGAAGCCTTAGAGCTCTATCCATTCTCTAGCCAAAGGTCCAAGCCCCCCTTCATGTGAAAAGTGGGAGCCTATTTATAGATTTTTTAGAGTGGTATACCTCGTAAATATGGGAAGATCTAGGACAAATTCGGAGTGCTCCATCGGAGGTCCCATATTGATCCCCTCAATGTTAGAGAGTTTTTCAAGCATTTATGTGCTCAAATGACTTCATAATTAAGCGATCTTAGATTCATCTTGATGAGCTACTCAATATAACTACAAGCATGCTATATTTGAATATCATTTGATCATCCAACTTATGTTTTGAATCTTTAAAATGTCCTTCAGTCTCTTGATTTGGACCTATTTGGGCTTGGATTCGATTGATTTGGGTGTTGTTGGGTTTGTCCCTTCTATATGTTCAGTTTGACTTTAAGTTTGTTGACATTAGAGTTTGGAATGTCCCAAATTTAATCTTGAAAGTTTTCAACTTAGATATGTCTCGTGTATCAATTTTTGGTGATGTATCAATTCAATAACATTTGTTTTAATTGTTGTATATCTTAGGGCAGTATTTCATATGTTATGTTATTTATGCACATGCAACGGTGGAACTGTGTATGGCTAAGGGGGGGCAATTGCCCTATCAGATGTTTTGTTGTTTATCCTCATGCATGGGCAAAACTGTGCATAGCTAGGTTGTGGGGGGGGGGGGGGGGTGGGGGGGGGGGGGGGGGGGGGGGGGGGAGAGATTATAAATCAAAATATGTTTATTATATTGAAAGGTGTTGGGAATTTTTGAAGGAAGATGGTGCTCCTTGAAATAGAGAGAGAGAAAAAAAAAGGTAAGAAAAGTACGGGAGAACAAAATGAATAGATTTCTTTTAAGAATTCGTTTACTCCCTATTACAGCCTATTGCTCTTATTTATTGATAACAATGGCTACACAAAACAACACACCAATGGCAATACAAGCTATACAAGAAATTAAAGAAAGTATAATGAAACAACTAACAAAAATCTAGACCAATATCTAACAAACTTCACCTTATTCCAAATTTTACAAAACATCTGATTCAGTCCATCCTTCTCCCAATATCTAACAAACTTCACCTTATTCCAAATTTTACAAAACATCGATTCAGTCCATCCTTCTCCCAAATCTACCACTACTACTAAGTCGGCATCTGCTTTGAGTCTAGCTCCTTGTAGTTCCAACAAATCAAAACGATTTCTCTTAAGTGCACCTAATTTTTAGTGAAAGAAGCACTTCTTGTTGGACTTGTTCCTTTTGAATTCTAATCTTCCTTTTGCAATCAAAATACTACCAATATTATCTTCTTTATATTCAGATTTCCTCTGAACATCCTTTAACATCAAGACATATTTTACGTCTGTAATTGTCAATGTTTACTTCCTCTGAACATCCTTTAACATCAAGACATATTTTACATCTGTAATTGTCAATGTTTACTTCCCATACAACATAATGTCAACTATGTGCTCATATGTCTCCGATAAAGAGCTGATGAGCATAATTCCTTAATCTTCTTCATCTATTATCACATCGACATTCTTGAGGCCAGTAAAGAATAAATTTATTAAAATCATCCAAATCTTCCTTAAGCTCCTTTGCTTCTTCCATTTGGATCATTTTTAATTATTTCTTCAAGAGATCTTTTTATATAAATTGGTTCAAACTTCCCCTATACCTCTAATGTCGAGACTTCTTCAACAACCTCTCTCAACACTTTTTCACCAAGAGAAAGGAGAACGATATTGTGTGCCTTCAATTTCATTTCTCTAGCTCTAACCTTGTTAGAAGCTGTAGCAAGATTACCCTCAGAAATGAAATCAGCAAGGCCTTGATGAACTAGTAAAGCATTTATCTTAATCCACAATAGTCTAAAATCGTTCTCCCCATTGAACCTGTTGGTATCCAACCTTTGCTTCGACATGATGTTGAACTTGTTGATATCCAACCCTTTGCATCAACATGATCAAGAAACAAGAACTCGATCTATGCCCCAACGTCATCATTCTGCTTCTGTCATTCACAAGATCTTACAGGAAGTAAAAAGAAAAATCTCCTTGCTTTTTTGTGTCTAACTTGAGCAACCCAAGCATATAAGAAGAACCAAGCCCTTCACTTGCCTCTATGCGATTTGCTTCGATTTCTCGATTGCGGAACAAAACCACGATTGCTGCTCCACCAGTAATTGCAACAAGATTCCCCTTAGAAATGGTATCGACAAGGTCTTGATGAACCAATAATAAAGCCCTTATCTTAAGTCGGCATAGGCTGAAATCATTCTCTCCATTGAACCTTTACATCAGACATGATCAAGAAACAAGAACTCAATATAGCATAACTTCCGCCCAACAGAAGACCCACACAACCGTCTCAGCTCCTCCGATTCGATTTCTTCAACAAGAAACTTCGTCTGCCTCCACTCCTCCTACGAATTTATTGATTTTTAGAGAGAGAGAGAGAGAGGTTAAGGAAAGAATGGGAGAGAGCAAACTGAACAGATTTCTTTATTGATGGGTTACTATTAACACAAACCTTGAGCTAAACTCAATCAAATTTCTAAAATTGTAGGTAGTTTTGTGACATTACTGGAGGACTTGACCCACAAGAAGTTATAAACTTTACAACATCAATGAGTATTCGCATTATAAATTTTTCTAATAAGTGTAAAGAGACCAAAGCCACATTATCTTTAACAACGAAATGGGGAAAAATAATATAAAGTTAATCTTATTTGTGATATCGTTCCCATAGAAGTTTATAGTCAAATTTGTAATTTTCTTACAAAGACTCTGGCGCAAAATCATAAATCTAAGCCAATAATAGAGATATTTCATATTATAGAACGAATCTCCCAACAAATGAGACCTTTATTCCATAAACTTACTCATCATTCCAGAGCAGAGAGATTGAAATCTCATAGTAAAGAGATAGATACCAGATAATCAAAAGGAAGAACTTTGATAACAAATCAAAGATTTCAAATAAAAGCTCTTGCGTAACAGTATTCGCAGTATGCCCACTCAAAATTTCCAAAAATATAAAATAAAAAAGCATTGAAATCCTGATTAAGAAAAAACAGGTCTCGTTTTTGCCCAGTGAGTGGCAACCTAAACAGAAGCCTTGCACCAAACTACAACCCAAACCAAAAACTATTTACAAATAGCATACCCAAAGCCCCTCACATATATACAATTTTTCGGTCCAGAAAATGATTAGCGATCAGACAACGCCAATTAATTCTTAACTCAACCACACCGACGTGCACCCGCCGCCTCCTGATCGCCACCTAGCCTGCCTGGCTCTGTCATCCACCCTTGAAGCAGATACAGATACCGACGGTTGAAACATTTGCATTGAAGGAGCGGAAAAACCTTCAGACATCTCCAACAGCATTCGCTGTAGCTCCTCCATTGTGCATTCCTCCTGTCAAACATTTACATTTTTATTTTTACAGGATAAATTTCGTAACAAATTGCAACAACTTCTCATCACAGAATTTAAAATTATTGCACTAATCTTACCTGCTTGTTCTTTACTTCCGCCATCAGCTGTACCATCTCCTCAACGAAATCCCAAAAACCCTTCACAAAATTTTAAAATTATCCAGAAGTCAGATCTTCTCTGTTTATGTAGAATATTAGTGCAGTCATTATAAATATGTTAATTTTTGCTAGCCGATTAGCATTTGCTCAATCCTTACCTCAACGTCCTCTACTCCTCCATCTTGTTCGCAATCATAAAGCCCAGCATCATATAGAGCTCGCCTTCTTTCGTCGGATAAAACTATTACAAATCTTATAGTATTAGTAACCAAGCTTGTTAAAAACGCATTGAATAGTTGAAGAAAATGAAAAAGTAATAACTGCAATTATACCTTCGTAAGCTTCTTGAATTTGCTGGAACCGCCCATTAGCCTCGTGAACCCGCTCTCTAGCGCACCGATCAGGGTGCCATTTCTGCAACCATTTCCTTCAAAAAAATTAGAAACAAAACGAAAATAAGAATGAGGGATGGAGGGACGACGAGTACCGTAACATACCATTGCAAGCATACGATAAGCTGCGCGTATCTCGGCGGCGGATGCATGACTGGAGACTCCAAGGATGGAGTAGAAGGAGGCTGTAGACCGTCCGAATGGCTGCTCTGCCGTTGCCATCGGTGGATTTGAGCCGCTACGAATGAGATCCTTCAGGGTACTGGTGAGAACAATTTATAGAACGGAGGTGAAAAATATCTCGCGAGACGAGAGAGAAGGCAGAAAAGAATCTGGAAAGTTCTGGAGGTGGAGGTGGCTATTCGGGAAGTTACGATTCGTTTTATTAAAAATATCTACTGGTTGCGTGAATTTCGCTCGGAAACGTGGGCCAGTGGTAACCTCCGAATGGCTGTGGACCGTCTGATGATGAGTGGTGATCTGTGTATTGCCAGAATTCGGCGCTTTGAGATTCGTTATGCATGGGAACTTTTTAAATTTTTTTATGTTTTGGGAGAGATGAGAATGTTCGAGAACGAGCCAGCTGGCAAAAAGTAGTGAAAATCTGCTAACCATTTGGCCACGCCTCTATTGATATTTTTTTGTTTATGCGTTTTGAAACGCCGGTCCTAGAATTGCAAACCGGAGCACGCGGAAGTGATGGGTTCGTTATGCATGGGAACTTTTTAAATTTTTTTATGTTTTGGGAGAGATGAGAATGTTCGAGAACGAGCCAGCTGGCAAAAAGTAGTGAAAATCTGCTAACCATTTGGCCACGCCTCTATTGATATTTTTTTGTTTATGCGTTTTGAAACGCCGGTCCTAGAATTGCAAACCGGAGCACGCGGAAGTGATGGGACAAAAACTTTATATATAGCACATTTAAAATGTTTTTATTAAAATCATTTATCATGCTGATCTTCTCTGTATCATCCCAATTTTATCAGAAAGAGAATTAAAAAAATGGACTATATCCTCAATTCTTCTAAAAAATATAATTTATAATATTTATAATTTTTTAAAAAAATTAATTGTACATCCACGGCCATTGAATTACCTTTTTTTTTATAAGATTCGTCTTTATTTTTGGATAAATTATTATGTACGGAGTCTGTGCGAAAAGTACCGTTCAGATACTTAAGTGTATATATATACACACTATGTACGCTCATATTTTGGATGATTCTTTTTATACGGATTCCGCATAGAATAATTTCCCTTACTTTGGCCTAAAGCTTTTTTTTGTTGGTTTCAATAATTTTTTAGGCTTAAAAATAATAAGAAAATTATTCCAAACAAAATCTATTATTATCTAAAATAATTTTTAACTAATACTCAATAATTGTTTTAAAAAGAACGAGCCTTAATATTCCCACAAAGGCTAAAGCAAATTTTTTGCACTATTTTTTTATTTTTTTCAGAAAAAAAAAATTTATGCAAAAAAGCCCCTGTAGAAAAAAAGGAAAAAATTTATCCCAAAAGAAGCCTACTATTTTCTAAAATCACTTTTATCTAATACTCTGTCTCTATGAGTTTGAGCGAGTTTGTATGAATTTTTTATTGATTATTTTATTTTTATAATTTCGTAAATTTGATACTATATGAAAGATTATTTTTATATAAAAAAAAAACTTTATATTTAAAAAAATTAACTGATTACTTTATAGATAGAACTTTTTTTTTTAGTTTACTTTATAGATTAGAACACTTTATATATAGATTAGAACATAGTTTAAATTATCTTACCAACAAAGATAATTTAAATATATGTGAGTTATTGAAGTCCTGATATATATACTTCTTTATTTTTTATTTTTTATTTCCAAATCATGATGTTAGTTCTAGAATTTTTCGAGTGCCCCTACTGCAAACACTCAAGTACTTGCATAACATAATAAACTAATATTAAAATTTTAAGATTTTTTATTATTTCAGAATTTAAAAAACTCTACATTATTCCAATTTAATAATAATAAAATAATTGCGATTTACATATAATATTTTGAATTACGATTGACATGTACGAAATTCAATTTAACTATTTAAATCTTTTAGCATTGCTAATAGAGTTTATGGGTATACTATTGGATATAAGGAGGGATGAAATGTATCTTCTTCATCAATGAAGCTCTTTTTGGTGGTGACTTGTGAATAGAGTAGAGGCGAGTGGCTAAGAGGCAAAAGCAAAAGGCACAAATAGGAGTGTAGGCACAAATAGGAGTGTTGCTGACTAAAATATACGTGGTGATAGAGTTGAAAAATTTCCGTCTCAGCGTTGTACGAATATCTAGCATACAAATAGAGGAGAAATAATAACATCAGAATTTTTACGTGAAAAATTCTGGAAAGAGAAAAAACCACGTGGTCACGCCCTGTTGAAATAATTATACTAGTATTTATTTGAGGTACAATAGGCTGACTCGTCCTTAAAATTTAGGACGATCAGATTACAATGCTACACTTCCTGATTGAAATTCGATTACAAACAAGTTGTTTATTCGAGTTGAATTCAGAGTCACTTAGAATTCCAACGTCACTTGGAAATCGAGCAGAGTTCCGGCGTCACTTCGACGTCGGACAGAATTCTGGTGTCACTTGGGCTTCGAGCAGAATTCTGGCGTCACTTGGGCAAAATTTCGGCATCACTCGGACGTCGGGCATAATTCCAGCCTCACTTTGGCGTCGGGCAAAATTCCGGCGTGACTCGGGCGTCGGACAGAATTTCGACGGTGGAAGAGGAGTTTCTTCCCTTCTATCATTCTCTTCTTCTTCTTCTTGTTTGGGTCCCCTCTCAAGAGAAATGATATATCTAATTATTGATATATATTATGGAGTAGCATGGCCTGTAAATAAGTGAGAGATCAAGGGCAAATAGGGAGTGGTTGAATGGACGGCCGATATTAAATCCTTTGATCGTGGATCGTTCATTTGACATTTAAAGGTCTTAATGATGTCGGAATTCGGCGATCGTGGGCTCGTTGGATTTGTCTAGTCAAGCTGCTCTATTCGACTATAAGCACGTTATGTTAGGAAACCGTTTGGTAACTCAAATTGTGGTTCGAATTTTTCAACAGTGCTTCGGATTATTGATTTGGACTCATTTGGGCTCGGATTGAGTCAATTTTGGTGTCGTTGGGTTCGGAGTTCAGGTGATCCCAGATTTAATTTTTGAAGTTTCCAATTTAATTTTGCCTCGAAATTTGTGTCCGATCAAGATGATTTTTTGAAGATATATAAGGAGAAAGGAAGTCAATATAAGATATTTGTCAGACTTCTGATATACATGAAGGGTAATGGAACCATTAGCAACCAACGGCATGTGAAGGACATCTAGACCAATGACATGTCATGGATAATAAGAATGATGACAAATGACGATGGAAATCGGAACAGTGATGGGAAGGTAATAGTAAGTGTTATATTTTATTTTATTTAGATGGTTTGAGTGTTATGTAGGTAATAGCGTCTCCAATCGAACGTAAAATATGTATATGGTGTCTTTCGGTCGCTCCAGCTGAACGTCAAATCTTCCGTCATTTACTTGCAGGTGAACAGTGCGACGCCAATATTTTCTAATGTAACATTTCAGTGCTATGTCTATAAATCATCCTAAAATAAACTAAGTTATTATTCTTATTTTTATTTTAAAAACTAATATTAAAAATAAATTACAAAGAAATTTCTAAAAGTAATTTATATTTGAATTATAAGTTAATTAATATGCCATCCAAAATACACTCATAGTATAAGACAATACTATTCTTGAAAAATATATGGCTCACACGTTAGAAAATAAGTTTTGAAAAATTATAAGAATTCTACGTTAAAATTTTATCTTAATGAGGTTTTTAAGAAGACCGTGCATGAATGCACCTATATGTAGATAAGCTGAAAGAAGTGTTAAACAAGCACAATATTTTAATGTGAAAGTTTTTAGAAGAAGAAAATCCAAGATAAAGTCTTGGGTGTGGGACTGACTCAATGACTGTCTAGTAGGGGTGTTAAATTATGACGTGACCCAAAAATCAAACCCGAACCCTACTCTAAAAATCCAATTCGACTTAACCCCTTTAATTACAAACAGGGCAAGTTCGGATTTTAATTCTTAACCCGTTTGAAAAATCAAACACACACACAGGGGAGTGAGAAAATAAGTTTTAAATTTTTTAAGTAATCATGTCATATGATCCAAATCATATTATACGATAAGTGATTTTTAAAATAATTTAAAATGGCTAATATTTTAATTAATATTTTAAAATTAATCATATGATACAACCTGCTCAAAATAAAATACTAGTCACCAATCAAATTTAAGTAAGCATTTTAATTTTTTATTTTGAAGTAGTCATACCATATGATGCCATTCATACAATACAACAAATGAAAACTTACATTATTTAATCCCAATGATAGGTCAATCAAATCAAGATTTAATTAATTTTATCGATCATATTGTACTATGTGAATCATATTGTACGATAGGAATAAATAGAAAAATATTCATCCCAATGATTATCCTAGATAAAACATTAATTTTTGAATCAATCATAAGGTATGATGTCAATCATACTATATAATAGGCAGGGTCAATTTTCAATCATCATGGAAATCATCGTGTATGATCATAAGATAATTGAACTAATAGTATTGTATGACCTTCAGATTGTACTATAAGATTAGTATACATTTTTTGAACAATTCATAACATGAATGTTTTATCCTACTGGACATTATTTAGTTTTTGAACTAATAGTTATGTACGATTATCAATCGTACTGTTCATACACTTTAGCTGAAATGAAATTTCAGATTTTTTTAAGACCTTGTAATTAAATCTTTTCTTAATTGTTTCTAATTGAGACTATTCATCGTTGAAAGAATTATATGAGAGAACATTGAGAGATCCTAAATAGTGGAGGAGGTGTGTTTTCTAAAAGGGATAAGTACTACTTGATTTTCCACACGATCGCTCAGATCAAGCTTGCACCTTGATTCCTACATAGGGAATTGCAGATCTACAGGGGTTGCTTTGGCTAGAAAAGCTTCAAGATCAAAGGTTGAGGTACTCTACCTTCACCAGGAGGGTGAAAAAGCTTCCAGGCTCATAAACTTCACTAGGGGGTGAAGAGAGCTTCCAAGGTTCTCTACCTCACCAAATGGTAAAAATAATTCTTGTTCTCCACCGCACTAAGTTGGTGGAAGAGATTCTTATAAGGGATTATCC